CCGAGGTGGCAGGGACGGCAGTGTGTCTGACTGCAGTGTCCAAGGTCAAGGGCGCTGGCTCTCCCGGTCTGCCCCAGCCCAGCTCTCAGGCTCTCCCCACGCACATCCACAGGCTGGCACGCCCCCCTCGGCCTCTCTGCTCTTTGTGCCCTGGTTTGCTGTTGAGTGTTTCTGGGGTGAATGTGTCAGGTGCACCGGGAGGCGCTGTCGCGGTGGCCCTGACCTGAAGCACTGTCCTTGCGTCGGTAACTCCCCTCGGCTCCCATCAGCCCGGCCAGGTTCTGTCCCATTTATTCAAAGACCTAGCTTGTAGCTTAGCTGTTTTTTCTCACGTCTCTCTGTTTCGATTATTCCTACTCTGAACTTCTTTCCTTCTTTCTGCCTAGGTTGGGCCTAATTTTCTCTCCTTTTCGGGCTCCTAAGGTGCAGGCGGCCGCAGCGCCCATGCACTCCGGCATGGCGCCTCGGCACCGGATTCTGGTGTGCCTGGTGCTGTCTCTGACTCACTGACTCTTCAGAAGGTGTAGTTGATGTCTACACCCCTGGGGGTTTCTAAATAGCTCTGGTCTGTCGTCCTTTCTCAAATGTTTATTTGAGAGGCAGAGGCAGAGATGGGCTGACAGTCCCAAACACTGGTTCACCCCCCCCACCCCACATGCCCTCAACAGCCAGGAACTCCATCTGGGTCTCCCACGTGGGTGACAGGGCCCAAGTACTGGGGCTGCCATTGGTTGGCTCCCCGGTGCGCGTTAGCAGGACGCTGGACTGCTGCAGAGCCAGGCACCGTGCCACGGGGCGCAGGTCTCCCAGCCTGCACACCAGGGCCCACCCCGTGACTTATTTTCAACCCAATTCTGTGGGGCCAGAGAACATCATCTGCGTGATTTCTATTCTTTTAAAGTTGTTGAGCTTTGCTTTACCGTGCTTAGAACATGGTTTATTTTGGTGGACACCAATGGGTGGAAGATCTCTGTCTCTCCCTCTCTCTGTGTCACTCTGCCTTTCAGATAAAATAAATCTTAGACATGGGGCCGGCCCTGTGGCGGAGTACGCTAAGCCTCTGCCTGCAGCACCGGCATCCCATACGGCGCCAGTTCTAGTCCCGGCTGCTCCTCTTCCGATCCAGCTCCCTGCTAATGCGCCTGGGGAAAGCAGTAGAAGATGGCCCACGGGCTTGGGCCCCTGCACCCACGGGGGAGACCTGGAAGAGGCTCCTGGCTCCTGGCTTTGGCCTGGCCCAGCTCTCACCATGTGCCCACTTGGGGAATGAACGAGCATTTCTCTCCTAACTCTCTCAAATAAACAAATAAAAAAAAAAAATAAGCCTGATGTAACTTAAAGGAGAAATAAAGCCACAGTTACAACTGAGATTGTATGCTTATGTTTGAATAAGTGAAGGTGTGACGTCACGGCTTGCAGCTTGGCCTGGCTGCGTGGGCTTCCCTGCCGCCGCCAGTCTGTACCCCACGCGTCCCTGGCGGCCCCGGCCAGCGCCCCCACGCGAGCCGCCTCGGCCCCGCCGAAGCGCAGCACCCAGGATTGGCCCCCGGCTCTCTCACGGGTGGCGGGAGCCTGCCACGTCCCGGCGCCGAGTCGCCCTGTCCCTCTAGGGCCGGCGGGGAGCCCGGGCTCGCCCAGTCCTCTTTCTCGCACCGGTTCCACGCGCTCCCTTTGGCGCCCCGCGCGCGCCCGACGCCCAGGGGCTCCGGGTGCCCGCTCGCCACAGGCTCTTCCTCCGCGTCCTCCCCCAGCTTTGCCTCCTGCCTGGGCTCTGCCTGCCTCGGGGCGGCCGGGGGCGGCGCGCGCGGGCGAGGGCGCACGGCGGCTCCCGGCGCGGGCCCGGGGAGGGGCCCGGCCGCGGGGGCGCAGGCGCACCGCGGGCTCCGCGCGCCCGGGTCGCCGGGCAACGCACCGCAACAGCGGCGCCGCCATGTGCGCCGCCGAGGTGGACGCTCACATAGCGCGGAGATTCCGGCTGCAGCGGCGGCTGGGCAAGGGGGTGAGCTCTTGCCGCCGGCGCGGGGGTCCCCGCGGGCGCGGGGCTGCGTCCGCCGGGCCGCCCGGAGCGCGGAGAGCGCGAGCAGCAGCTGGAGGAGCTGCCGCCGAGCCGGCATGCCTACCGCGGGCCTCCCCGCTGGCCACCGCCCCTCCTGGGCAGCTCCTCCCGGGCCCTCCCACTCCCCCCGAGGCTGAGCCGCGCGGGCCCTCTGCCCTCAAGGCAGCCGTGCGCCCCCCCAGGCCTACGGCATTGTTTGGAAGGCAGTGGACCGGAGCACCGGCGAGGTCGTGGCCATCAAGAAGATCTTCGATGCCTTCAGAGACCAGACGGATGCCCAGGTGGGCGAGCCGGACTCGGGGCAGACTCGGGCAGGCGGGGGCCAGCCCGGGGCTCCTGCTGTCTCTGGGCCAGTGCGCGCCTGGGCCCTTCAGGAGGTGGCCAGCTCCTTGCCTTGCCCATCTGCCCGCACGCCTGTGTTTGTCTCCTCAGAGGACCTTCCGGGAGATCGTGCTCCTGCAGGTGGGTGGCCGGCCTCCTGCCTGTCCGCCTTCTCCAGATGCAGTTCTCTAGACAAGGGGCAGGGCGGAGCTGGCCTTGACCCCGGGCACAGCCGCGGCCTCTCCGCAGGAGTTTGGAGGCCACCCCAACATCATCCGCCTGCTGGACGTGATCCGAGCCGAGAACGACAGGGACATCTACCTGGTGTTTGAGTCTATGGGTGAGCGAGGCCTTGGTCAGCCGCGGCCCCGAGTGGCCGGCGCTCCTACCTCGTGCTCGCCGCCTGTGCACAAGCAGGCAGCTGGCAGGTGTCCACCCGCAGGGCCCCCGCCTGCACAAGCTCCCCCTTGTCCACGGTCCACCGCTGCATTCCTTTCTCACCCCGCAAACCAGGACAGGAAGTACTAATGTGACCCCACACTTTCGTCTCCGTGCCCAGCGTGGGAGTGCTGAGGCCCCGGCCCTGAGGGTGGCGCTGGGGCCAGGGGACGCGGGCTGTGGGCCAGACCTGCCCCTGCTGCCCACGGCTGACCTGCGCCCCCCCCCGCCCCAGACACGGACCTGCACGCGGTCATTGAGAAGGGCACGCTGTTGAAAGACATCCACAAACGCTACATCTTCTACCAGCTCCTGCGGGCCACGCAGTTCCTCCACTCGGGCCACGTCGTCCACCGGGACCAGAAGGTGCGGCCCCACGCGACTTCCCCACCCCGCGGCCCCCAGCCCTTGTGCGCACCCACGGGGCCGCCTCCTCCCTGCAGCCATCCAACGTCCTGCTGGACGCCAACTGCCTGGTGAAGCTCTGCGACTTTGGCCTGGCCCGGTCGCTGAGCAGTGTCCCCGAGGGGCCCGAGGGCCAGCCGCTGACGGAGTACGTGGCCACACGCTGGTACCGGGCGCCGGAGGTGCTGCTGTCCTCACACTGGTAAACCCCCCGCCTCCTCCCCGGGGCCGCCTCGCCTGGCCAGCACCTCCACCTGCGCCTCTGCCTCTCCCTTTCCCGCCCCAGGTACACCCCGGGGGTGGACATGTGGAGCCTGGGCTGCATCCTGGGGGAGATGCTGCGAGGGCGGCCCCTGTTCCCAGGCACGTCCACGCTGCACCAGCTGCAGCTGATCCTGGAGGCCGTCCCCCCGCCCTCCGAGGAGGGTGAGCGTGGGCCGGGGGCCGCGGGTGGCCACGCCTGGGTCACCAGGACTGTCCAAGGGCCCAGGAGGACAGAGGACAGGGCCAGCTTGAGGATGGAGGGCCCAGGGAGGAGCCACCGGGGCCAGCTGGGGAGCGACAGGGCCTGGGGCCCGCCCAGGGTTGTGGGGGTGTCGGGGGTGGGGCGGCTGCTGTGCTGAGGCTTGGAGGAAGGTAGGGCTGGGCTGGGCAGCTCTACAGGTCACTGGTCACTGGGGGCGTGGCAAGGGGTGGGGGCCCTGATCTCGCCCGGTGCTTGCTTCCTGGGGTCCACACAGCAAAGAGGCAGTGTATGGAGTGGGAGCATGAGTGCCCCAGGTGTGAGGCTCCCGGGAGTTGGGCTATGAAGGTGCCGGGGCGGGTACACGCACGGGCGGGCACAGGCTCGCCTGGGGGTCTGAGCCCCACCAGACAGGGCAGCCACTGCTGCACTCCAGGGCCCCAGACCCCCTCAGCCACCCCCCGACCCCAGCCAGGGCCCCAGATCACACCACTTTGTGCCGCCCACCCCCAGACCTCCTGGCTCTCGGCTCAAACTACAGTTCCTTGGTCCTGCACCATCTGGGGTCCCGGTGAGTGGGGTCTGCTTGTGTGGCTTTGTCTTGCCCTGCTGTCCTGAGGGGGCCCCGAGCCCAGCAACTCTGCTAGCCAGGGAGGAGACCCCTGCCCCAGCCCAGTCTCGGAGGTCTCCACACTCCCAGGCTGCCCACAGCTTGGTCTTAGGGGTCCTCCCAGACTGGAAAGTGGAAGTGGCCAAGGTTTGGGGGCCTCCCCAGTCGCCAGGGGTGGGCATCTGGGGAGGGCCCGCGGGTTGGGCCCTGGACAGGACACATGGGGCCACCCACAGGCCTCGGCAGCTGCTGGACGCCCTTCTGCCGCCGGACACCCCGCCGCAGGCCCTGGATCTCCTCCGGCGACTGCTGGTGTTCGCCCCGGACAAGCGCCTGAGCGCCGCGCAGGCCCTGCAGCACCCCTACGTGCAGAGGTGCGGCGGGGGGGGGGGCGGGAGGCGTGACCGCGGCCATGGTTCCCTGCCCCGACCCCCGGGCGTGCCTCTGCTCCACGCAGGTTCCACTGCCCCGGCCAGGAGTGGACACGGGACGCGGCCTTTCAGCTTCCGGTGCCCGCAGGGGTCCAGCTCTCTGCGACTGAGTATCGCAACCGGCTCTATCAGGTGCTCCGCCCACGACCCCCATCGTCCCATCCACTCCGGGCTCCCGCCTCCCGTAGTGACCCCCACGCACACCGTGCGCCCTGACACCCCTCCTCCCGCAGATGCTGCTGGAGCGCAGGGGCAGCGGCGGCCTGGGGGGCGCAGCCCCTGAACCCGGAGCGGCCCCGCAGGAGCCGGGACGCAGGCATCGGAGTAGCGGCGGGCGCGCGCCCGAGCGCGGTGCGTGCTGCCGTCCCCGCCGCGTCCCCAGCGGCTTGCGCGGCCCCTGCCCTGACAGCGGCTCTGTCTGCCCCGCAGAGGCCCCCCGCGCCGCCACGAGCAAGTCCCGGCAGCGCCCCGCACCCCTGCTCCAACTTCCACCCCCAGGGAGGCGGGCTCGGCCCCCTGCGCCGGCGGCGGAGGCCCCCTTGGCACCAGCGGGGGTGGTAAGTCGTGCGGCGGGCGCCGGCGGCGCCTCCCATTGCGCCCTGGGTGCCGCTCTGGCTGCTCCTTCCCAGGGGAGGCCGGCGCCCTCCCTGACCTCGCAGGCTGTGGCCCAGGCGGCCAACCGGGCCCTGATCCGCAGCGACCAGACGCGGGTCAGTGGGCTGCGGGCCGCTGGCAGGCTCCGCGGGAGCCGGGGCCCAGGCCCTCCTGCTCCACCTCTGCTCTCCCCGGCGCGCTCCCGACCACTGCCCGGAGCGCAGGCCCCTCCCAGGGATGCCCCGGAGCCTCGGCCGGGCCGCAGGATGCTGGGCAGCACCTCCGCGCTACAGGGCGCCCAGGGCGCTGCCAGGGCTGCGCTCGGGGGCTACTCCCAGGCATATGGCACAGTCTGCCGCTCGGCACTGGACTGCCTGCCCCTGCTTCCCCGCCCTGCACCTGAGCCGCCACGCGGGAACTCCCGGACCTGCTCAGTGCTTCTTCCCAACCCAGTCCCGGCCCCCCTCCAATAAAGTCATGTCCCCCGACTTTCATCCTCTGCCTTCCCCGGACCCCAGCGCCCCTCCCGTGGGCCTCCCCTCGCCCGCTGAAGCTGTCACCGTGGCCCCTGTCTGCCCAGCGCCCAGCGCGGGGCTTCCCTCAGGGTGAAGGCGCCAAGGCTGGCTGATGTCCGAAGGGGCCCCTGCCACCTCCACATCCCCGCCTGGAGCTACTGGGGGTTCCAGGCTGTCCCAGGCTGTCCCGGGCTGTCCCCGGGCTGTCCCCGGGCTGTCCCCAGGGCAGGGACCTGTGGGACACTGAGCCGGAGGAAAAGCAAGGAGCCAGGGGACTACCCCGTCCAGCCCACCCTCCAGTCTCCACCTGGCCCTGCCTTTCCCACAGCCTGTGCCTGGCACTGCCTGGACGGGCCTCACGGGGCTCCAGGCCACCAACTCCGGCCACCGCCAGGCAGGAGGCCTGGCCAGAGCTCTGGCTGGAGCTGTGGGGGCCCAGTGCCCATGGGGGCCCCTGAACCTCGCCTCACCCTGGCCAGAGGAGCTGCAGCCCCCGTGGTGGCCAGGCCAGGCGGCCGGGAGCCCAGAGCTCCGCTGTGTCCTAAAGGCCTCCAGGCCCTGTCAGGAAATGAGGGGAGCGAGGGGAGCTGGCCACACAGAGCCTAGGAGGGAGTAGGCGGGCAGGGGCAGGGGCAGGGATGGAGCAGCAAGGGGGGAGGGAGCAGTTTGCTGCCTGAGGCACAGCCCCGAGCTGATGGCCCAGCAGCACAGCTGTGGCTGTGATAGGCCAGGGAACGGCCGGCAACGGGGCGGGCTGGGCAGGGGGCTTCTTGCTCTGAGACCAGATGACAGCAGTGTGTGCCCCCCGGAGGGCTGGGGCAGCGGAGGCTTTGCCTGGGCTGGAAGGCTGAGCGGCGCTGTTGGAGGGACGGCTGGTGCTCCCACAGGGTGCTGGGAAGGCCACAAGGTTGCAGGTTGCCTACAGCCGCAGGCAGGGAAACATCTGGGAACTTGTGGGCACCAGACTGGGCTCAGCAAGGTGTGGAGGCTGCCGGCAGGAGGCCCTGGGCTCCCTGGAGGCTCTCCACGCCTTGGGCCCATGCCCAGTCTGCTCTGGACGCTGGCACAGGACACACGGGCATGTCGCCCAGGAACCTTCCCGGGGGACCTCTTCCACACGGCCAAAAGCCGCTGCTGTCATCCGTGCCTGGGTGGGGGCTTTGGTGTCAGAGAGGGAGCCGCTGCCCAAGCCCACCACCCAGCCCTCGCTTCGGCAGCGCATATACCAAGCCCAACACCCGCCCTGCTCCACTGCTGGAGCCCGGATTCTGCCTTAATTTCGTGGCCTTTTTCTTTTAATTAGCAATAATCACGCCTCGGATAAACCTCACTGGCTACGATACTGCCACTGCGCAAAGCTGGGTGGCCTTTTTCTTTTAAAAAACTTTGCATTTATTGGAGAGGCTGGCGTGGTGGAGACCGGGCTGGGTCTCCCGCAGGGGTGGCAGGAACCCACCCACTCAGACCCTTACCGCTGCCTTCCCTTCAGGAACCCGAGCCAGGTGCTGATCGCAGGCATCCTAACCATCGCGTTAAGCACTCGGCTGCACGCCTGCCCGGGCTTGTGGACATACTTTTCCCCTGGGAATTTCTTATACTTTAAAAAGTTGAAAAGCAATACAAAACAGAAAGCAATCTTGCAATGCTGCACTGTGTAACCATGGGGCGCCTCCTAAGCATTTGGTGCCAAGATGTGTCATTCCAAATCCAGTAAAGTTACTCTGTGAGCTTAGGGACAAAAGGCACAAGAAAGGCGAAGCAGAACCTTGCCCGGGGTCCGCGTGCTGCTCACACCAGGGACAGGGAGACGGGTGCGGGCAGGGCTCCTGCACAGCCCGCCTGCTGGCCCACACCCAGCCTCTCCCCTGGGACACTTCAAGAGGCTGGGGCCGCCATTGTCTGTCCAGATCACGTTTTATTGCGCCGCAACGCCCAGTGCGCCTGCTCCTTTTGCCGGCACCGTGGGCAGCCCCTTGAGGGTCTCCAGCACCTCTTTTCCCAGTGGCCCACCCCACCCAGCACCCATCACACAAGGGGCAGCCTTTGTCGCAGCAAGAGGCCGGGCCACCCAGAAAGACGCTGGAGGCAGTGAGGGGACCGGGGAGCCAACGGAATCAACGGAAGAGGCCCGAGGCTGGGCCGTGGCAGCGAGGGGGCACAGAGCCGGGGGCAGTGAGGGGAGCCCTGAGAACACAAGCCCTGTGGAGAGGGGGACTGAGGTACGGAGGGGTCCCTGAGGACGGAGGCCCGGGAGGGACGAGCCCCAGGAGAGACGCTGCAGGGGGAAAGGCACCAGGCAGTGCGGGGTCCCCAGCCCCCGGCGGAGAGGCCACCCACCGAGCGCCAGGCGGGCACCGGCTTGAGGACAGGGCGCTCCCTGCACCCCGGCCGCGCCGCAGGGCCGCGAGCTCACTTCTTGCCTTTGAGCGTGCCCAGGATCTTGGGCATGAACTTGCCCACCTTGCTGTCCCTGGCGTCGTCCTCCGCCGGGCCCTGCGCGGGCCCCGGGCCGCCCGCCTCCTCCCTCTTGCAGAACACCTCGAAGCGGCTGTACACCCGCTTCTCCTTGCGCATGCTCTCCATGCGCCGCAGGAGCCGGTCGCGCTCCTCCGCGCTGGCGGGCAGCGTGCGGCTCAGCCGGCCCTGCGCGCCCAGGCTGTCCGAGCGGAAGATGGCCGAGCACTTGTCCTTGTCGGACATGTCGGGGGCCAGGCCGCCGGCGGTCGGGCGGCGGCCGAGCTCAGGGCTGCTGTGGGCCGCGCCTGGGCCCGGGGCCGGGGCTCCACGGTGCTTCTGGCCGTGGGCGCTGATCTGCTCCAGGATGGCCTTGGTGTCGTCCCGCAGGTTGCTGCTGTACAAGGCGTTGGCCGTGGCCGAGGCCAGGCGCGCCCGCGGGCCCTTCTCGTCGCCCGCAGCAGCCTCTGTGCTGTCACCCCGGCCCAGGGACGGCCGCCGGGGGCTCTCGGGCTGCCCGTTCTCTTGCGGCGCCGGCGCCGGGGAGCCGCCCTCGTCCTCGGCCCGCCGCTCGCCCTTGGGGCTCAGCAGCTGCCTGAGGCGCAGGGAGCCCTTGCGCAGGACTTCCATGGGGCCGCCCGCAGCCTCTTCCAGGGGCCCCACCTTTGGAGCGTCCCCAGAGAAGCTGAGGGTGAGGCTGCCCCTGCGCTCAGGCACCGGGGGCACGGGGCTGGCCCTGCGCTCAGGCACCGGGGGCACGGGGCTGCCCTTCCGCTCCGGGTAGGCGGCGGTGGGGCTGCCCTTCCGCTCCGGGTAGGCGGCGGTGGGGCTCCCTTTCTGCTCAGGATGGGGGGCCTGGTGTGCACCTGGCCCCTCTGGTGGGGGGCTGCCACGCCCCTGCGGGGAGGTGGAGCGGCCGTGGGCAGAGAGGAAGCGGGAGGGCAGGCGGTCTGCGCCGCCGCGGCCCAGCGTGTCCAGCAGCTGAGTAGCCGTGACCGCTGCGGAGCCCGGTTGCCGCTCGGACTCCTGGTGCAGCCGCTGGGCGAACGAGTCGCGCAGGTCAAGCAGACAGCTCTCAAGGCTGCGGCGCTCGCCCCCAGCCACCTCTTCCCGCCACGCCTGGGACACGACAGCCTTGCTGTGGCTGGCCACGGTGACAGCGCCGCCAGCGTCGCGCGCCGGGCCCTTGTACTTCTCCAGCAGCTCGGCGACCTTGGCAGAGGCGGCGGAGCGCACGGCCTCGCCGCCAGGCCCCACGGTCTCGCTGACCGTCTGCTCCTTGTGCATCACCTGCACTTTCTCCGTGGTGGCCGCGGCGGTGCCCCCTGCGCCCTCGGCCTGCGACGCAAAGATCAGCGAGGACCGCAGCCTCGAGCTGCGCTGGATGAGCGGGTTGAGGCGGGAGCGGAAGGAGTCCTGCGTGGCCGGGGCCACCTCCTCGGCGCCCTCGTGCTCGGAACTGTCCCCGCCGCCGCCGCCCCCGCCGCCGCCAGAACCTGGCGCCAGGCCCCTGGGCGCCAAGGCTGCAGGGACGCGGAAGGCCGCCGGGAGCGGGTCTCGGCCGCCGGGCGCCAGCACGTCGTCGTCGTAGTCCTCAGCGTCCATGGGCGTGGGCAGGCCCTCGTCGCCGGCGCTGTCACTGTGGCAGCCGCTCAGGTAGGACGCCAGGCGCCAGTGCCGCAGCCCGGCGCGTCCCTCGTGCCCGCCCCTGCGCTCCGGCTCCGGCTCGGTGCTGGCGTCCAGGCCCTGCTTCGCAGCGGACTGGCACGGGAAGCGCTGGCTCAGATTGGGGCGCGGTGCCCCGCCGGGTTCCAGGCCGCGGGGCCCCGGCCCGAAGGCGGGGTCGGAGCCATGGCGCACTTCTCGCGAGGCGCTGGACGGCACGTACTCCAGCCGCTGGTGCCCGTCCGGGCCGAGCTCCGGGAAGCGCGGCCCCGCGCCCAGGGCCAGGTCCTCGTGGTCGGGGAAGCCCGGGCGGCCAGCGCGCAGCTTCTCGAACAGGCCCTGCGGGCGCGTGGGCGCGCACTGCGGGTCCCACTGGTAGTGCTGCTGGTAGAGCTGGTCGCGGTGGAAGTGGCTGGTCTGGAAGCGGAAGTCGTCGCCGTGGCTGAGGAACGTGTGCCGCGACACCTGCCGCGCCGCCGCGAAGTTCTCCACGGCGCCCGCGCCGTCAGCCGCCGCGAAGCTGTGCCGCTTGAAGGCGTCCACCTCCAGGTGCCGCGCCTGGAAGAAGCCCCGCGCGCCCCCCAGCTCGGCGCCCGGCCGCAGGCCCGAGTGCGGCTCCAGCGCGCCCCCGGGCATCCTCAGCGGCTCCTCGCGGCGGAAGGGCGACAGGAAATGCCGGTCGGGGTCCAGGAAGGAGGGGAAGCCCAGGCCCTCCTCCCGGGGCGGCGGGAACAGGAGGTGCGCGCGCTTGGGGAAGGAGAAGGGGGTCGGTGCTCCGACTCCAGGGACCCCCATGAGCGGCCCGGCCCCAGCATAGGGGGCCAGGGCGTAGGCGTCCATGCGGGCCAGGGCCCCGGCCGAGGGCACCAGCGGCTCCGACTGCGCGAAGAGGATGCGGAACTCCTCGTCGAAGCTGGAGACCAGCTCGCCCTGGAACACGTGCGCCAGGCTGCGGTGGATCTTCTCGAAGGACCACATGAAGCTGTGGGAGGGCCAAGGCCGCGGTCAGAGGAGGCCGGGCCGGGCCGGGGCCGGGGCCGGGGCGTGGGGAGGGGCTGCGGCAGGGGGCCGCGCGTGCGCACCTGTAGCTGCCGCTCATCACCACGGCGCAGTCCACCAGCAGGAACTTCTCCTTCACGTGGCCTTTGAAGGACTTCCCGGTGCGGCAGTAGTAGGTGGGGCCTGCCACTGTGCGCACGCGCAGGAACTGCAGCGGAGAAGGGGAGCCCCGGGGGTCGCAGGGGCTTTTCCAGGCGGGGCGGCCCCCCCACGCCGCCACTCGCATCCCCACGGGACGCCCCCCCGCGTCACTCACGTCCACGTGGTGCAGGTTGACCCGGCACTTGTCTGCCATGTCCAGGAAGTGGTGTGCGTTCATCTCGTCCAGCAGGATGTAGACGGGCACGCGGCGCGCCGCGGCCTCCAGCACCTCAGCCAGCAGGTCCACGTCGGTGAACATGTCCATCACCACGGCCACCACCTGCGGGGGTGCGGCAGGGCCCAGCGCCGCTCGTACTCTGGGGGCGGGGTCACCCCAGGAGAGGGGCCCGCGCCCCTGGGCCTGCAGTCCTGCCAGCCCCAAGGCCTAAGGCCCAGATGGGAGCAGGGCGGCCGTCCCAGAACCAGCCTGAGCCGTGAGCGGCTGGCAGTGACCAACCCTTTCGGGGGCGCGGCAGGGGCAGCCGGTCTGGCCTCAGCCCGCCTCCATGTGGTCACGCGTGCACTTTGCCCTCACTGCCCGCCGCCTCCCGCTTCAGGCTACGGCCACATCCGCCCTCCCCCACGGCCCGGCGCCCCCACCGGCACCTGCTGGGCGGAGCGGATCATCCTGCGGGCCTCATCCTTGATGCTGGGGCTGTCCGGCGGTGGCGGCTGCACCAGCGTGGTCACCTCGGTGCCCTGGAAGCCGAAGGTTAGGGGCCAGCCCAGGTCGAGCTCGGGCACAGCCTGGTCCGAGTTCACAGGCCAGTAGGTGCCTGAGGAGCCGTCCATGTCCACATCCGGAGGGGTGCCCTCGGGGGGCTCCCGGGCAGCGTGCTGGGGGGGCCGCAGGTGACGGCTCACGTGCTCCAGCTCCTCGGGGCACAGGAAGTCGGGGGCCCCCTCGGACGCCAGGAAGCGGCTGTAGGCCTCTGGCCCGCCCTCGGCCAGCGCGTCCACTGCCAGGCGGTAGTACTCCTTGTAATGGGGAGGCAGGTACCCGGGCGCCAGCGGGTTATCCCCCTGCGAGGAGCTCTGCGAGCGACGCGCCATGTTGGGGCCAGGGGCCTGGAAGGGCAGGGACACACGTTAGGAGGGGCAGGGGCGCAGGGCCCACCCCCACCCCTCCCACGTGGCATAGGTTGGGGGAGGGGCTGCCAGCCCAGGCCTGGGGTGGGGGGCTGAGTCAGGTTCACGGCTGTGCTGGGCACAGGCACCCCAGCCCCTCTCCTCTGCTCCCACCAGCACCCCGGCCCAGGCTGGGGCCCCTCGCTCTGTATGGACTTAACTATTTCATGACTGTGGTTCAAAGACAAAATTAGAAGCCAGGCCAGAGTCGCCGTCACCATATTCGTTTTCCTTCTAAGACAGCACGTTCACGCGTGCTGCCCGGGCTGTGGGCGCCCTGAGCAGGCCACTGTGTCTCTGCCCAGCACCTGCCCTGGACCCTGGGCAGGCCACCGCGCCCCTGGCTGCCACCCGTGCTGGGCAGCACTTCCCGGGACTGATGTGACACACAGGGCTGGGACGGCCTTCAGCCAGGAATGACAACCTTAATTCCTTCCCACAGCCCCTGGCCACGCTTCCCCCTCATCCTCAGGGCTTCGCGCTGACCTCCCAGCCCTCCGTGCCCTGACCGCTAGCCGCTGTCCCCACCCACCACTAACCTCTGTTGCTGCTCTCTCCTATGGCACTGGCCCTTCCCACACCCATGAACGAGCTGCCCTGGCCGCAGCCCTGTCCCCACCAGGCGTGGCCAGGCCCTGTGGCAGCAGGCACTCTCAACCCCGGTCACCACCCGGCTCCACTCAGGAGGAAGCCGGAGCCTTTGGCCGTGGCCTTGGTGCCCGTCCTGAGGCCTGCACTGCCATGCCCCCCGCCCAGCCTGCCCCCCAGTGGGCGCTGGGAAGTCCTGGGTGGGGCCCTGTGGTGGACTTCCGGGCTGATCTTCATCTGACTGCCCAGACACACTGCTGGCCCAGGGACTGCACCCCCATCCCCTCAGGTGCGGGGCACAGGCGGGGACCCTGATCTGCCCAGACAGGTGCTAGACTACTGGTCCTGGCTGGGGACCGGGCTCTGCTCAGGGTGCCCGGGCCATGTGGCCGGGGCGGGCGCTGGCTGGCCAGACGGCACTGGAGCCGCAGGCACGCACTTGCCTGGGAACGGCAGGCTCAGGACTGGGCACCATGCTGCCCGCTGTCCTGCCCGGCATCCCCGACTGCTGGGCACGGTGTGGCGATGGGTGCGGGGGGTGCTCCTGTGTACCCTGGAGTCCGCCAGCCCCGGAGGCTACCTGGCCCAGATACCCAGGAAAGCTGTCCTGGCTTTGCCTGGGGGTGCCCTTGGGACAAGGGTGAGGCAGGGTCCCGGCTGTGGCAGAAGCATGAGGCGGATGCGGGGAGGGGGGTCCCAGGGTGTCTGACTGTCCCTGGGCCTCGCTGTATCTGGCAGGGCAGTGTCTGACCACTCGGGACTGGGGGAGACACTTTTGTCCCACAGAACCACACAGCTGTGAGGCTGTGCGGGGTCACCGTGGTCGAGTGTCCCCATGTGGGCTGCTGACCAGGCCCAGTGACTGCACCTGCTCCCCTCCCTGGGCCGGGGGCTGGCCATGGCCACTGCCCAGCCAGCACCAGGCAGCCCTGCATTTGACTGCCAGCTGCCTGCACTGAAGGAGGGAGGGGCAACGACGCCAGACCACTGACTCAGCGGGAGTGCCCCTGGCCGCTGCCCTCTGACCCGAGGCCATGCAGTCTCCAGGGCCCTCAGCGTGGACTTGAAGGACCCGGATCCTCCCCAGGGCCCTAACTGTGGACTTGAAGGACCCGGATCCTCCCCAGGGCCCTAACTGTGGACTTGAAGGACCCGGATCCTCCCCAGGGCCCTAACTGTGGACTTGAAGGACCCGGATCCTCCCCATCTGGGCAGGAAGTGCGCCAAGCCACCGGAAGGAGGATCCTACAGGAAGGCGCCCCAGCTCTTCCACAAAGCGGGGTGACCCCTGCCGCAGTACCCTGGGAGGGCAGGAGGACGTGGACGCGTCAGCTGCCGGGAGGTGGGGTCGGGCGGCCGGGACTCAGGCCGGAAGTAGGCGAGCGCACCCCAGGACTGGAGGTGGTGGCCCAGGCCAGGTGTCCACCCACGCTAATCAGGGGATCCGGGGCCAGTGCTCTCGTTGCGGCCCACGCGCCGTGTGCCGAGCAGCCTGCACCCTCCCTGGACTCCAGCTGGGCCACAGGGCGGGCGCGGGCAGGCCCCGTGCCGACCCCCACCCCTTCCCACTCTGCGCTTCCTGGGCCGGCGTGTGAGGGCGCGAGAGGCCGCGGCCGCCCCCGCCCCGCAGCCCGCGCGCCGCCGGCCCCTCTCCCCGCGCACGCGGGCGCGGGCCACCGGCCCCTCCCCGCCCCGAGTCTCTCGGCAGGGGCTCAGGTGAGGCAGCGCCGGGGGGCTCCGGCCTCCCGCCCCGCCCCGCCCGAGCCGAGGGAGGGGGCCCTACCTGGCCAGGTGTGCGGGGTCTCGGCACAGGGGCAGCAGGAGCCGACCGCCGCCCAGCGGCCTCGCGGTCCGGTCGGTCCGGCAGCCACTCCCTGCGCGGCCCGCCCGGCCTGATTCACGCGCCCGCCCCCGCCCCGCCCGCCGCTCCTGCCTCCTGCCTGCCCGGGCAGCACCTGGGGGCGGGGCGGCCCCACCCGCGACGCGCCCGCATTCCTGCGCCCGACGCCCGCCCCGGCCCGCGCCCCCGGCCCCGCCCCAGGCCCGCGTCCACGACCCCCAACCCCGCCCCGGCCGCGTCCCGGAGCCGCGCGCCCGGGGACCCCCGCCGCCCCTACTTCAAGGACCCCACGCCCACGGGGACCATTTCTTAACTGAGGGCTCAAAGTCCCTATCACTGACCCCTGACCCTCGCCCCGGAAGTCGGGGTGACTCGGAAGTTCCGGCTCGGTCGCTAGGGAACGCCCAGCCCGAGTCGGGGGGCGGAGCCTGCGGCCGCAGAGGCGCTTTGTGGGGGCAGGTGAGACAGGTGAGGCCGCGGGGCGGCGCCAGGCCCGAGGGCTCCCCGAGCACCGGGGTCACCGCACGCCTCGGCCTCCCGCAGTGACGCGCACCGACCCAGACGCCACCGCTGTCGCGCACAGGTGGCTGAGACCCTGCGCTCGCAGTCCCGGGCCGTTCCTCGTCCTGCCCGATCCCGCGCCTCGGCCCCGCGCAGTCCGCCCCACGCTCCCCACAGGCACGCAGGACGTGGCACAAGGGGGGGGCGACGCCGACCCCTGCACATTGGTGCCGCGACCCGCGTGACTGTGGGTTCCGATGACCTCACACCCATCCCCATCCCCCGCGCCAAGCCCCAGGTAGCCAGGTGCACGCTGACACGCCCACTCGACACCACGGAGATCCCTGGAAGGCCTCACGTAGGGGCGCGACCTTCCTGTATCCAAGCCCCGACCCCCGCCTGGGACCCCTGCACACACGCGGAGCCCCCCACACAGACACCCACCCCCAGCTGGCGCGGGAGCCCTCGGCTGCTCCAGGCCCCAGCCTCCTGTCCACCTGTCCTCCTGTCCACCACCTGCCTGAACCCTTCTGCCAGGATTGAGCCACCTCTTGACCTCCTGTCCGCACACGCCCCACCAGCCGCAGAACTTAGGGTCCCTGACCTCCCCAAGTCTGCTTTCAGGGTCATCTCCAGTCTCACGGGTTCCTTCCCCAGAGCAAACACCACAGGTACCCAGGCTGGGCCAGACCAGTACTGGGCAGTGGTGCTGCAGGGGGTTCCTCATGTAGGGCTCTGGAGTGGGGCGGGGGAGCTGAGGCCTGGCGCTGGAGCCTGGGTGGGAGGGGTGGGGGGAGGAGCTCGGGAGTGGTGCTGGAGCCAGTGTGGGAGGAGTCTGGGGGGAGAGCTGGGGCCAGTGTGGGAGGGGCCTGGGGGGGAGATGTGGGGCCAGGGTAGGAGGGGTCTAGGTGGGGAGAGCTGGGGTCAGGGTAGGAGGGGTCTGGGGGGGAGAGCTGGGGCCAGGGTAGGAGGGGTCTGGGGGGGGAGAGTTGGGGTCAGGGTAGGAGGGGTCTAGGTGTGGAGAGCTGGGGTCAGGGTAGGAGGGGTCTGGGAGGGGAGAGCTGGGGCCAGGGTAGGAGGGGTCTGGGGGGGGAGAGCTGGGGCCAGGGTAGGAGGGGTCTGGGGGGGAGAGCTGGAGTCAGGGTAGGAGGGGTCTGGGGGGAGAGCTGGGATCAGGGTAGGAGGGTTCTGGGGGGGGAGAGCTGGGGCCAGGGTAGGAGGGGTCTCGGGGGGAGATGTGGAGTCAGGGTAGGAGGGGTCTGGGAGGGGAGAGCTGGGGTCAGGGTAGGAGGGGTCTGGGGGGAGAGCTGGGGTCAGGGTAGGAGAGGTCTGGGAGGGGAGAGCTGGGGTCAGGGTAGGAGGGGTCTGGTGGGGAGAGCTGGGGCCAGGGTAGGAGGGGTCTGGGAGGGGAGAGCTGGGGCCAGGGTAGGAGGGGTCTAGGGGGGAGAGCTGGGGCCAGGGTAGGAGGGGTCTGGGGGGGGAGAGTTGGGGTCAGGGTAGGAGGGGTCTAGGTGTGGAGAGCTGGGGTCAGGGTAGGAGGGGTCTGGGAGGGGAGAGCTGGGGCCAGGGTAGGAGGGTTCTGGGGGGGAGAGCTGGGGCCAGGGTAGGAGGGGTCTGGGGCGGAGAGCTGGGGTCAGGGTAGGAGAGGTCTGGGGGGGAGAGCTGGGGTCAGGGTAGGAGGGGTCTAGGTGGGGAGAGCTGGGGTCAGGGTAAGAGGGGTCTAGGTGGGGAGAGCTGGGGCCAGGGTAGGAGGGGTCTGGGGGGGAGAGCTGGGGTCAGGGTAGGAGGGGTCTGGGGGGGAGAGCTGGGGCCAGGGTAGGAGAGGTCTGGGAGGGGAGAGCTGGGGCCAGGGTAGGAGGGGTCTGGGGGGGAGAGCTGGGGCCAGAGTAGGAGGGGTCTGGGAGGGGAGAGCTGGGGTCAGGTTAGGAGGGGTCTGGGGGGGAGAGCTGGGGCCAGGGTAGGAGGGGTCTGGGGGGGAGAGCTGGGGCCAGAGTAGGAGGGGTCTGGGAGGGGAGAGCTGGGGTCAGGTTAGGCGGGGTCTGGGGGGAGAGCTGGGGCCAGGGTAGGAGGGGTCTGGGGGGGAGATGTGGGGCCAGGGTAGGAGGGGTCTGGGAGGGGAGAGCTGGGGCCAGGGTAGGAGGGGTCTGGGGGGGAGAGCTGGGGCCAGGGTAGGAGGGGTCTAGGTGTGGAGAGCTGGGGTCAGGGTAGGAGGGGTCTGGGAGGGGAGAGCTGGGGCCAGGGTAGGAGGGGTCTGGGGGGGAGAGCTGGGGCCAGAGTAGGAGGGGTCTGGGAGGGGAGAGCTGGGGTCAGTTTAGGAGGGGTCTGGGGGGAGAGCTGGGGCCAGGGTAGGAGGGGTCTGGGGGGGAGATGTGAGGCCAGGGTAGGAGGGGTCTGGGGGGAGAGCGGGAACAAGGAGCTGGGGCCAGGGTAGGAGGGGTCTGGGGGGGAGAGCTGGGGCCAGGGTAGGAGGGGTCTGGGGGGAGAGCTGGGGCCAGGGTAGGAGGGGTCTGGGGGGGAGAGCTGGGGCCAGGGTAGGAGGGGTCTGGGGGGAGAGCTGGGGCCAGGGTAGGAGGGGTCTGGGGGGGAGAGCTGGGGCCAGGGTAGGAGGGGTCTGGGGGGAGAGCTGGGGCCAGGGTAGGAGGGGTCTGGGGGGGAGAGCTGGGGCCAGGGTAGGAGGGGTCTGGGGGGAGAGCTGGGGCCAGGGTAGGAGGGGTCTGGGGGGGAGAGCTGGGGCCAGGGTAGGAGGGGTCTGGGGGGAGAGCTGGGGCCAGGGTAGGAGGGGTCTGGGGGGGAGAGCTGGGGCCAGGGTAGGAGGGGTCTGGGGGGAGAGCTGGGGCCAGGGTAGGAGGGGTCTGGGGGGAGAGCTGGGGCCAGGGTAGGAGGGGTCTGGGGGGGGAGAGCTGGGGCCAGGGTAGGAGGGGTCTGGGGGGGAGAGCTGGGGCCAGGGTAGGAGGGGTCTGGGGGGAGAGCTGGGGCCAGGGTAGGAGGGGTCTGGGTGGGGAGAGCTGGGGCCAGGGTAGGAGGGGTCTGGGGGGAGAGCTGGGGTCAGGGTAGGAGGGGTCTGGGAGGGGAGAGCTGTGGTCAGGGTAGGAGGGGTCTGGGGGGAGAGCTGGGGTCAGGGTAGGAGGGGTCTGGGGGGGAGAGCTGTGGTCAGGGTAGGAGGGGTCTGGGGGGAGAGCTGGGGTCAGGGTAGGAGGGGTCTGTGGGGAGAACGGGGACGTGGAGCTGGGGCCAGGGTGGGAGGGGTGGTGGGGGAGCTGGGCGTGGAGCTGGGGCCAGGGTTGGGTCAGCCTGGTGCCCTCGTGGCCCCTGTGGTCTGGAGAGGGTGACCTGTACTGGGCAGCAGACCCCGGAAGCCAGCGGGGTGGGCTAAGCCCAGAGTGTGGGAGCGAACTCTGGGGCTGAGGGGGACGAGCTGTTACCCAAGGCCTTGCCCAGCTGCTGGGCACCCCTGGGAAGCCATGGGGGGGCCTGTCCCCCTGCCCCGACCTCGGCCACGCTGAGCACCCCCTCCCTGGCCTTCCCTTCCCACTCCAGGAGAATGAACGGTAAGAAGGGAGGGGCCGTGGCTGCGCCAGGGACATGGCGGACACTCCTGCCTGGGCCGGAGCCGAGAGCCACTGCTGGTGAGTGTGGCCTCTGACCTCCAGGGCACAGCCACCAGGCACTGGCCTGGGAGACCCCTGGACATCTCCCCACGGCACCTTGTCTGGAGCCCCTTCCCGGAACGTGGCCTCAGTGGGTGTCCGAGTTGGGTTGACTGTGACAGCCCCCGAGGTGGGGTGGGCCTGGGCAGTGCTCGGAGGAGCCCAGCTTTGTCGTATGCATTGTCCAGGCGGCGGCTCCCGGCCTCTGCCGCTCGGGCCTGCCCTGGGCTCTCCCCAGACGCAGCCCTCGTGCAGGGGCCTGGCTTGAGCCCTGCCCCTAGAGAGCTCCCAGAGTCCCAGGGTCTGGTGGCGACTGCGCCTCACCTCGGGCAGGGTTAGGTCCCAGCTCCCCAAAATAGCCCCAGCGGCGTCTGAGGCCGCCCCTCCTGGAATGAGGTAATGAGTGCAGGTGCCGCGTACTGCTTCCGCCACCCCAAGCCCTGGGCATGTGAGCAGCAATAAACAGGCAGGGCGGGCGGACCAGGAAGCACTCACAGCCTCCGACCGGCCTGCCCTGCCCCCTCCCCCGGCCCCCCACAAGGGGCACCGCGCTCCCCGGCTCGGCGTCTTCCACCCACCAAGCTTTGGTCTGCGCTGCCTTGCGACGGGCACAGCCTCCCTTGCCAAGCGTGTGAACAAGCCGTGGGCGCCCCCCGCTGGAGCCCCCCCGCGCCCCTGCCCGCCAGGCCTTACCTGGCTCTGGGTCTGCAGCACCTCCAGGCCGGCACTGCGCAGCTGCTCCAGGGCCACGGCCAGCTGCAGCCCCTCCATGTGCACCCAGGCCTGCTCCTCCTGCAGCTGCTGCAGCCACAGCTGCTCCTCCTGCCACAGCTGGCTCTGCAGCTGCACCTGCCGCCGCCTCTCCTCCAGCAGCAGCTGCTCCTGGGCCAGGCACAGCTGGACCTCGTGGAGCCGCAGCAGCTCGGGGCCCAGGGACGGCAAGGGGCCCCCCGCTCCACAGCCCTCCATCTGCTCAGCCGGGACTGGCACCCACTCGGACCCCAGGGCGGCGGCCTGCTCTGGCCTCACGGCTGCCTGGGGCTGCTCTGGCCCGGCTGCCCTGGGGTATCCTTGGGGAGCCAGCTGGATGCTGGTCACGTGCCCTGGAGGGGCCAGCCCCGTCTCACCCTGAGGGCCCTCTGTGGCAGGGGGCGGGAGCTCGGCCTCTGTGCCCTGCCGCCCTGCCGCCCGCTGGGCCCTGCCCGCCCTCCTGGCTCGGGGTTTGCGAGCCCGGCCTCGTTTGCCAGACATGGCCCTTCCGCCAGGTGTCCGCTCCCAGGGCCCCAGCTCGGCGGCCGCGCGCCTCCGTCGGCTAGCTCAGCGGGCACCTGCGGAAGGCCCCAGAGGGCTGCTGGCTCCCGTGCCAGGCTCCTGTAGTCCCCGCGCGCCCGCCTTGCCCCTCGGTCGTGCCCGCAGCCCGGCGGCTCTGGGCCCTGGCTCTGCCTGTGGCCCTCACGGGCCCCACTCGGCAGGGCCGGGCCACGCCAGCAAGTTTATGGGGACTCGGCGGCGCGGTGGCTCACCCGCCGAGAAGGCTGACTAACGTGCTGACACAGGGCCCGGGGGTTCTCGGGCCACAGGCCTCACAGGCCAGCCTGGGAGGGAGACAGAGTGGAGGCGGCTCTCGCAGCCAGACGGTGGTGCGCAGCCACGCCGTGCCCGGGCCTGCCCTGGGCGGCGCCGAGGCCCCCACCCCGCCCCACCGGCTCCCCTGCCCCACCCCTGGTCGCGGGAAACTCAAACTGTGTCCTAGTCCCACGGACCACGGACACTCAGACTCTCCCTGGCCACAGCCTAGCCCATCCGCTGGCCATGGGCGGCTCCAGCCTGGCTTGCCCCGAGCCCTGTGTGGACCAAGCCCAGGTGGACACTCCAAGGAGCCCCACAGGGCTCGAGCTTGTGGGGGACTTGAGAGGAAGGCCCTGGCCCCAGCGTGGTGGCCTGTGGCGAGGGCCTGGCGGCAGTGCCGGAAGCGGAGACAGGGCCCCCAGCCTGCTTTCCTGCGCCATGCCAGATGGCTGGAGGCTGGGGGCCAGGCAAGGGGCCTCCCACGACCATCCTGGGTGGGGGTCCCGGGGCTGGGGGGTGCAAGGCCAGCCCCCCCCAGGCTTCCTGTCTGGAAGGCAGACTCCAAAGGCCCCCTCCCGAGCGTTTCCCCAGCCCGGGGCTGGGTGCTGACTCACAGCGACGCCCAGGGTCCTGCCCAGCCGCCAGCTCTGCCACACTGGCTGGACGGGTTCGCCTGGTCCAGCCCTGCCCGGCGCACACCCCCTCCTGCCCAGACCTTGCCCCAGAGGCCTCAGGAGAAGGTGGACAGACGCCTCCCAGGACAGCACTGAGTTGGACACACGGAAGCAGGAGGCACCTGGGGTGGGGGTGGCACAGGTGCTGGGCAGGGGGCAGGGTGTGGGTGAGGCTGACCAGCAGGGTCCCCTGCCTGGGGCTGCAGCACGCCCGCTGTCTCCCTCACCCGAGGGCCTGCAGGAGGACGCGGTGGGGCCCCATAAATGATTCCTGAGGTCGTCAGGCAGGGGGTCTCCCAGCCCGGCCACCCTGACTGTCTCGCCCCTCCCCAGGGCAGCCCGGAGAGAGGCATCAGCCGCCCAGGAATACGAGTCAGCAAGTGAGGGCGCCTGTGCCCGGCGAGAGCCCCCCGGCCGCTGCAGGTGAGGACACAGCCGCCAGGAGGGCCAGCTGGCAGGAGGGGCTGCCCTGGCCAAGGACACGGTGTGCCACGCATATACGCAGGTGTATGGCATGTGCCCCACCTGTACTCAGGCATGTGTGCATATGTGCCACACACGTACTCAGGCATGTGGCATATGTGCCACACACGTACTCAGGTGTGTGTGTGCCCACACATGTACTCGGGCAGTGTGTGCCCACACATGTACCCAGGTGTGTGTGTGCATGTGCCCACATGTGTGTGCCCTGGGTGCACACAAGTGTACTTCAGTGCGGGTGTGTGTGTTCATGCCCATGCGTGCGTACGTAACACGTGTGCATACATATGCGTGTGTGCACTGGTGTGTGTGTTCCTGCATGTCTGTGCTCAGTGTGTGCATGTGTTTATGCATACGCATGCACGTGCCCTGTACGCACACGTGTGTACTCCAGTTGGTGTATGTTCATGCCCATGTGTACCTATGTACCACGTGTGCACACACATGTGTCCGTGCCCTGTGTGCGCTCTGGTGTGTGCGTGTTCCTGCATGTGTGTGCATGTCTGTGCCCAGTGTGTGCATGTTTATGCATGCGCATGCACGCGCCCTGCTGCACACATGTGTGCCGTGGTGCACGTGTGTGCGTGTGCACGTGTGCTTGCAGAGCAGGCCTGTGGCACGCTGGGAGCCGCGGTTCCCCCGTTGCTGCGGGTCCACTCTCGGAGAGTTCTGAGGAGTGCGGCCGGGGAGCTGTCCCACAGAGCCGAGGACCGAGGAGAGCACAGGGCGTGGGCGGGCGCGGGAAGCAGGTGTCTGTTTTAGGGGGGCCCAGGCAGAGGGGAGGTGCTCGTGCGTGTGCTGGGTGCGGGGTGCTTTACCCTGATACGGCTTGCGCTCCTGGGGTGCGCCAAGCCGAGGTGACCTTTGGCCACTTTCTGACCGTCTGTGCGGGCCTCGCTCTTGGGCGGGCTCTGGGGCCCGCGTGGCTCCCTGGCATGCGAGGAGAGCCTGGGCGCAGCGAGTCACGGCAAAGACTTGCGAGTGGCTCCCTCCCTGCGGCTCCGCGTCCCGGCACCCACGGGGTCGCCGTCCCTTCCCCTGCGGTGGCCGGGGCTGCTGCCCTCTGGTGGCAGGAAAGGGAGCGGCCCGCGGGGCAGGGCAGGGGCGGGCTCCGCTCCGCGTGGGGCTCCGGCTCCGCGGCCTCCGGGGCGCTGCCGGCCCCCGACGCCGGGACCTGTGTCTAGCTCATCCTCCTCGCCTGCTCAGCTGTGCTGGAACCCGGCCCGGCTGTCCACAAACTCCAGCCAGCTGGCGGCCTTCTCCTCCAGGCCCCGCCCCGCCCGGCCTGGCCCCGACCGCTGGCTTCCTTGGCGGACCTGGTGGGGGTCAGTCCAGCGTGTGTGCCGCAGCTGGGCATTGGAAGCCGCCGCAGCGCAGCCGCCCGTGCGCCCTCCCCCCAGGGGCCGGGATAAGGAGCGGGAGCAGGCTGTGCCTCCAGGAGCCGTCCCTGCAGGTCCCTCTGCGCTCTGCGGCGGTGCTGGGGTCTGAGTGCCTGTTTCTGCAGCGCTGGCCTGGGGGGGGGGGTGGACGCCTCCCGGGAGCCCCCAGCCCTTCTTGCTGTGGATTGCGATGTCCCGTTCAGGGGTGCGTGAGGACTGTTCCCGTTTACGGGGCCCCCGGGGTCCTGTTCGAGTCAGGGTGGCCGTCTGCCATTTGAATGTCCCTTCTCTGGAGTGAAAATGTTCACAGAGCCCTCTCCCACACGGGGCTCCCGTGGCTGCCCGCCGAGCAGGACCCAGAACCTCCGTCCTCCCTCCGCCCGCCTGCACTGGGGAGGGCCCTGTGGCCAGCGCCCTTAGCCCCTCCCCCCAGGGACCGGGGTGTGGACAGCCCTGGGGCCTCCTCCGCCTTCCCATCTCTCCCGGGACAGGAGCTGTGCAGCAGGGGTCTGTGGTTCCTGCCTGGCGAGGGTGGGCTGCTTTGGGTGCTCCCAACAGCCGCTGGGCAGTAGGCGGTGACGGGGCCAGGGCAGAGGCCCCCGCGCGTCCTTGCTTGGGCAGCCTGCTCTGGTTGCCTGTGGCCCCGCCTGGCCCACGTGGTTCCCGTGTCTCCCGCTGAGGGGGGACCCCGCCCCTGCTGTTCTCTCCGGCCGGCTCGCTGTCTCATGGAGGAGGGCCCTCGCTGCGCGGTCCAGGGAGCTGTGTGAGCTCTGTCGGCAGCCAGGTACAGAGTGGACCCACTGGACATGGACTTGGCCACAGCACTGTCCACCTCATGGCCTCCACTCTGAGGGCCGAGGACCACGATGGTCCTGCCACTTGGCTGAATTCATTTCTTAGTTATAACAGTTTTTTAAAAACGATCTATTTTATTTGAAAGCCACAGTGACAGAGAGAGGGTAAGACAGAAAGAAAGAAACTGATCTTCATCCACTGGTTCACTCCCCAAATGGCCACAGGAGCTGGGCCGGCCCAGGCCACAGCCAGGAGCTCCATCGGGTCTCGGACGTGGGTGCAGGGGCCGCAACCCTTGGGCCTTCTGCTGCCCTCCCAGGCCATCGCAGGGAGCTGGGTGGGAAGTGGGGCGGCCTGGACGTGAGCCGGCGCCCATCTGGGGTGCTGGTGCCCTCCAGGACATGTGCCACAGCGCTGGCGCCATATAACAATTTTTATTTACTCACTTTTTTTTTTTTACAGGCAGAGTGGACAGTGAGAGAGAGAGACAGAGAGAAAGGTCTTCCTTTGCCGTTGGTTCACCCTCCAATGGCCGCTGCGGCCGGCGCACCACGCTGATCCGATGGCAGGAGCCAGGTGCTTCTCCTGGTCTCCCATGGGGTGCAGGGCCCAAGCACCTGGGCCATCCTCCACTGCACTCCCTGGCCACAGCAGAGGGCTGGCCTGGAAGAGGGGCAACCGGGACAGAATCCGGCGCCCCGACCGGGACTAGAACCCGGTGTGCTGGCGCCGCAAGGTGGAGGATTAGCCTAGTGAGCCGTGGTGCCGGCCTATTTACTCACTTTTAAAAATATTTATTTTATTTATTTGAAAGGCAGAGTTACAGATAGGAGACACACACACACACACACACACACAGAGAGAGAGAGAGAGAGAGAGAGAGAGGTCTTCCACCCACGGGTTCACTCCCCAGATGGCCGCAACAGCTGGGGCTGGGACAGGCCAAAGCCAGGAACCTGGAGCTCCGTCCTGGTCCCCATGCAGGTGCAGGGCCCAAGCACTTGGGGCATCTTCTGCTGCTTTCCCAGGCCACAGCAGAGAGCTGGATCGGAAATGGAGCAGCCAGGACTCGAACCGGCGCCCATATGGGATGCTGGCGCTGCAGTCAGTGGCTTAACCTGCTGCGCCACAGCGCCGGGCCCTCTTCATTAATTTATGACAATTTTTGGTGGATCTTTAGGGTTTCCGCGTGTCAAACCATGCAGCCCGGGGCAGGCGTTTGGCAGGTGGTTACAATGGCTCCCTCTTGGGAGAGCCTGGGTTTGGGTCCTGGCTCCTCAGCACCGGGCGTTCCTCCCGCCGCTGCAGTCCTGCCAGCCTCGCAGTCTCTTTGAAGAACCCACGTGGGTTCTCCCGCCCTCCCGCCGCCTCCCGCACGCTCCCCTGGGCTCAGTCACTTCCCTGCGGCGTCGGGTTCTGTTTCTGCTTCCTCCACTTCTGCGGGCTGGGGATCTTTCCCGAGCTGTGCGTCTCCGCTGCCCTGGGCAGTCTGGGGGTGAGGGGTTTCCCACCGCCACATCTGCGGGCTCTCAGCTTCCTGTCACTGCCACGTCTCGCACTGTCCTGTGGTCGCAGAGCACTTCGCCAGGTGCCCACCTTGGTCACCTGCAGCCGTCCCGACCTCCATCTCTGCAGCTGACTTCGGTCGGCCATGCGGGACCGTGCTGGGGTGTGCAGAGTGTGTGGCGTGTGCGTGGCCGTTCGTGGCTGTGTGTGGCCCTGTGGAGCCATGCGGGCGTTCGTGGCTGTGCCAGGTGTGCTGGGCATTTGTGACAGTGCACGGCTGCGCGTGGCTGAGCCGACTGTCCTGCCGGCGTCTGCCTTTGCCTCCTCCGACGAGGAGCTCACGCCGGGCGTTTGCATTTGGTCCTGCGCGTCCTGCGTTGCTGTGGTCTTCTGTGTCCCTCGCAGTCACGTTTGAGTGTCTTTCTCGTCCCCTTCTCTGTGTGCCCCCAGCGGTTTTCTCTGTGGTCGCCGTGGCTGTCGGTGGCTGAGGGCGCGGAAGTCAGGTGGCACCGTGGGTCAGGCTGGCCCCCGCCGCCGTGGGGAACAGAAGGCGGGTGGGGGTGGCCGGGCGGGTGCTGCGCGTCCTGGTCCGTCCCCCGCCGGCCCTCAGCTTCCCACCCCCTGAGAACGGCTTGATCTCTCCCGCATTTTGCAGGACAGTTCTGCTGCACATAGAATTTTTGGTTGGCAGGTTTTGTGTTTTTTTTTTTCTATTTTTCTTTTTTTATTAATTTATTTATTTGAAGGGGGGTGATATCTCCCATCTGCCGGTTCATCCCCCAAAAACCTGCAGAGGCCGAAGCTGGGCCAAGCCAAAGGTGGCCTGAGGAGGAGAGGGCTCTGGGCTGAGCCACCCTGCCCCTGCCCCCACCCCTGCCCCTCTTGGCTCTCAGGATTCCCGCAGATGTCTCGCCGTGCACGTGTGGGGTTGTGCAGCTGCCCCACACTCAGCTCCCGTTCGGGGGAGGTTCCCCGCCATGATTTGCTGGCCTCTCTCTGCCCCTGTCTCTCCCTCCTCCCCTTCTGAGGCTCCTCCAGTGCTGGTCCCAGGGCCGAGTCCATTCCCCCGTTCTGACTCCAGGTGCACTGCCTCTGGGGTCCTGGGCCCCAGCGAGGCTGCGCCTTGGGGTTGTGATTGCCACCCTGATGCTCCCGCCCAGCCCCTGGGAAGTCGTCTTCCCGCGCCTGCGTCCTGTGAGCACCTCCCGGGCCGGTCTCCCGCTGTCGGCAGCTGGGATCTGAGTCTGAAGACGTGCTACAGGGTTCCTGCTAATTTGTTTGAAGATTTATTTGACAGCATTTCAGACAGGAGAGAGAGAGACAGATCTTCCACCCTGGGGTTTGCTTCCCAAACCCCTGCATCCCAGTGGTGCGTGTGGAGGTCTCATCCCAGAGCCGAGAGGCGAGAAGGGCCCACGTGGGACGCCGGCACTGCAGGCGGTGGCTTGACCTGCTACGACACAGCGCCGACCCCTCCCTAGTTTTACTTTAAAAAATTATTTGGGGACCAGCGGTGTGGTGCTGCAGGTTAAGCTGGTGCCTGCATTTCTAGTCCTGGCTGTTCCTCTTCCGATCCAGCTCTCTGCTGTGGCTGGGAAAGCAGTGGGAGATGCCCAAGTCCCTGGGCCCCTGCACCCGCGTGGGAGACCTGGAAAAGGCTCCTGGCTCCTGGCTTTGGATCAGCGCAGCTCCGACCCTTGTGGCCAACTGGGGAGTGAACCAGCAGATGGAAGACCTCTCTCTCTCTCTCTCTCTCTCTCTCTCTCTCTCCCTCCCTCCCTCCCTCCCTCCCTCTCCCTCTCCCCTCTCTGTGTAACTCTGACTTTCAAAGGCAGCGTTACACAGAGAGGAGAGGTAGAGAGAGAGAGAGGTCTTCCATCCACTGGTTCACTCCCCAGATGGCTGCAACAGCCAGGGCTGGGCCAGGCTGCAGCCAGGAGCCCAGAACTCTGCGGGGGTCTCCCGGTGGCTGGCAGGGGTCCCAGTACTTGAAGCCCTGGTGGGGCAGGAACCCAGGGCCCTGACGTGGGCATTGGAAGCAGCAGCTTAACGACTGCTCACACAGCCACCCCAACTGTTTTTCAAATCCTTGTCTTTCACTCAGAATTCTTTTCCATTTACATGTAATGCAGTCAATTATTTGTGTTTTGAATACAACAAAATACTTTGTTGGTATTTGCCTAATACTTCTCTGCCTACTTGGGGTTCCTTTCTTATACATTTTTGACTTATTAAAATATTTTTATTATTCTGCTTTTTAATGTGGTTGGCAGTTGGGTATCTCTTGCTTCAGGACAAATTAGCACAAACACAGCAACTCAGAGAGCCCTCATTTAGGGGCTGGCGCTGTGTCGTAGTGGGCTGAGCCTCTGCCTGCAGCACGGACATCCTGTATGGCGCCGGTTCAAGTCCTGGCTGCTCCACTTCTGATCCAGCTCGCTGCATATGTGCCTTTTTTTTTAAAAAAATTATTTATTTGAAAGTCAGAGTTACACAGAGAGAGAAGGAGAGGCAGAGAGAGAGAGAGAGAGAGAGAGAGAGAGAGAGAGGTCTTCCATCCTCTGGTTCACTCCCCAATTGGCTGCAATGGCCAGAGCTGCGCTGATCCGAAGCCAGGAGCCAGGAGCTTCTTCTGGGTCTCCCACGCGGGTGCAGGGCCCAAGCACTTGGGCCATCCTCCACTGCCCTCCTGGGCCACAGCAGAGCTGGATCAGAAGTGGAGCAGCTGGGACACGAATCGGTGCCCATATAGGATGCTGGCGCTGCAGGTGGCGGCTTTACCTGCTACGCCACAGCGTAAAGTCGGCGTTGGGGGGCACTGGTGATGCACGGGTCCCAGCCAGAGGGCCTGGGCTAGGGCTGCTCCTGCCCACCAGGGAGGCAGCAGTGAGGGCTGGAGGCCCCTGCTCCCCAGCGGAGGCCTGGCTGCTGCTGCCCTTTGGGGAGTGAGCCGTGGAGGGGCCTCTCTGTCTCTGCCTCTCAAATAGATTTTTTAAAATGGCGATGCAGCCAGGGCTGGGTGAGATGGAACCAGGAGCTCCCGGCGGGTCTCCCTGGAGATATCCCCAGCTGCCCGCGGTGTAGCGGGCGGTGCCCGGCGCCGGTTCGCGGGTCCAGGGGCGTTGGGAGCCCCGTGCGCCAGGTCGGTTCTAGCTGGTGCGGGTCTCTCGGGTCCCTGGCGCAGCGTGCAGCCTGGGCCTCGGCTCGACCGACCGTGGGGACCGCGGATCGCCACCCGCCCTCGCCGGGCAGCTCCGCCCCAGCCCCTCCCGGCCCCGGCCGGCGTTTTCAGGCCCAGCGGCTCGGCCTGGCCGGGCGGGAAGGCGGGGGCCTGGGGGTCAGCGCACCGGGGCCGTCCACACGCGCCCTCTCACCCCCAGAGCCCACCGCCGAGGACCGCGCGGCCATGGTCATCCAGGGCGCCCTGCGGCAGCACCTGGCGAGGAGGGAGCTGGCCCGGCGCAAGCGGCAGCGCCAGGAGTACGAGGAGCGGATGGAGAAGCTGCAGAGGGAGGTGAGCGGGCCGGGGGCCCCACTCCGGGGCAGGCCGGGGGCTGGGGACGGTGGGCGGGACTCGGGGCTGGGGGCGGGGACCCAGGCCTGTGGGCGGTGGGCGGGAACCTGGGGCTGGGGGCTGGGGACGGTGGGCGGGGACCCGGGGCTGTGGGCGGGGACTCCAGGCTGTGGGAGGGGACACGGGGCTGAGGGCTGGGGACGGTGGGAGGGGCCCGGGGCTGGGGACGGTGGGCGGGTACCGGAGCTGGGGACGGTGGGCGGGGACCTGGAACTGTGGGCGGGGATTCCGGGGCTGCGGGCGGGACCGGGACTGGGGCTGTGGGCGGGGACTCCGGGCTGTGGGCGGGGAACCGGGGCTGGGGGCTGGGGACGGTGGGAGGGACGCGGGGCTGAGGACGGTGGGCAGGGACCTGGGGCTGGGGACGGGACCCGGGGCCGGGGGCTGGGACGGTGGGTGGGACCCGGGGCTGGGGGCGGGGATTCCGGGGCTGCAGGCGGGACCGGGGCTGTGGGCGGGGACTCCAGGCTGTGGGCGGGGAACCGGGGCTTGGAGGTGGGGACGGTGGGAGGGACGCGGGGCTAGGGGCTGGGGACGGTGGGGGACCTGGGACGGTGGGTGGGACCCGGGGCTGGGGGCGGGGACCCAGGGCTGGGGACCGTGGCTGCGGGCGGGGACCCCGGGGCTGTGGGCGGGGATTCCAGGGCTGTGGGCGGGGACCCCGGGGCTGCGGGCGGGGACCCCGGGGCTGTGGGCGGGGACCCCGGGGCTGCGGGCGGGGACCCCGGGGCTGTGGGCGGGGACCCCGGGGCTGCGGGCGGGGATTCCGGGGCTGCGGGCGGGGACCCCGGGGCTGCGGGCGGGGACTCCGGGGCTGCGGGCGGGGACCCCGGGACTGCGGGCGGGGATTCCGGGGCTGCGGGCGGGGACCCCGGGCTGTGGGCGGGGACCCCGGGGCTGTGGGCGGGGACCCCGGGGCTGCGGGCGGGGATTCCGGGGCTGCGGGCGGGGACCCCGGGGCTGCGGGCGGGGACTCCGGGGCTGCGGGCGGGGACCCCGGGACTGCGGGCGGGGATTCCGGGGCTGCGGGTGGGGACCCCGGGCTGTGGGCGGGGATTCCGGGGCTGCGGGCGGGGACCCCGGGGCTGTGGGCGGGGACCCCGGGGCTGCGGGCGGGGATTCCGGGGCTGTGGGCGGGGACCCCGGGGCTGCGGGCGGGGACCCCGGGGCTGTGGGCGGGGATTCCGGGGCTGCGGGCGGGGATTCCGGGGCTGCGGGCGGGGACCCCGGGCTGTGGGCGGGGATTCCGGGGCTGCGGGCGGGGACCCCGGGGCTGCGGGCGGGGATTCCGGGGCTGCGGGCGGGGACTCCGGGGCTGCGGGCGGGGACCCCGGGGCTGCGGGCGGGGATTCCGGGGCTGCGGGCGGGGACCCCGGGGCTGTGGGCGGGGACTCCGGGGCTGCGGGCGGGGACCCCGGGGCTGTGGGCGGGGACTCCGGGGCTGCGGGCGGGACCCCGGGGCTGTGGGCGGGGACCCCGGGGCTGCGGGCGGGGACTCCGGGGCTGCGGGCGGGACCCCAGGCCTGGGCTCGGCCACCCGGGTGGTGCCCCGCAGGCCTTCGTTGCGGCGGTGCTGCGGGAGCAGGCGGCGGCTCGGCGGCGGCGCGAGCAGGAGGAAGCGGCGCAGCGCGAGCGGCGGGAGGAGCTGCAGCGCCGCGGCCGCCTGCTGGACGCCGCCTTCGACGGGGACGTGGGGGAGATGCGCGCGGTGCTGGAGGAGGTGGGCGGGCGTACGGGGTGGGCGGGGCGGTGCTGGAGGAGGTGGGCGGTGCTGGAGGAGGCGGGCGGGGCGCGCGGGTGGGCGGGGCGGTGCTGGAGGAGGCGGGCGGGGCGCGCGGGTGAGAGCGGCCGCCGGCGCAGGTGGAGCAGCTGCTGACTCGCGAGGGCGTGGGCCACGACGAGGAGGGCGCGGCGCGGCGGCTGCAGCGGCGCGTGGCGCTCGTGGAGTGCGAGGACCGCCACGGGAACACGCCGCTGTCCGAGGCGGCCGCGGGCGGGCAGCCGCGGGCCATCCAGCTGCTGGCTGAGCTGGGCGCCAACCCCAACAGCAAGGTGCGTGCGGGGAGCCGGGCCGGGCCGCGCGGCCGGGGCCTCGCTCACCAGCCATTCCCGCAGGGCGCCTTCGGCCGGACGCCGCTGTACCGCGCGGCCTTCGGGGGGCACCTGGAGGCCGTGCAGCTGCTGCTGCGGCTCGGCGCAGACCCGCGGGTGCACGCGGACGACGGCAGCACCCCCGAGCAGGTGCGGGGCCCCCTGAGCCGCAGCCCGGCCGAGAGCCTGTAGAGCCTCCACCCTCGTCTCCTTTAAGCCGCCTGAGAACCGGGTTCTCCACGAACTCCCAAGCCCGTCTGGGCGCACTCGGGCCAGCACGCGGGGAGGACGGAGACCGGGACCCCCACAGAGGAGCGAGCCTCGTCCTGCCCGGCAGGCTCTCGTGAGGTCGGCCCGAGTGGGGCACGGGGGAAGCCCGGAGTCCAGGACACTTAGGACACGTGGGAGAAGACCCCAGTCACAAACCCCGCTCGGCTGGGCCTCATCAGTGGCCAAACTTCCCCTCGATTGACTTACTGGAAAGGTGGAGTGGCACCGAGAGGGGGGGCGGAGACGTCTGTGCACTGGCTCCCGCCCGGTCGGCTGTCAGGGCCCCAAGTGCTTGCTGTCCCACGTGGGAGACCTGGAGTGAGATTCCAGCTCCTGGCCTCTACCTGGCCCAGCCTGGGCTGCTGCAGACGTCTGGGGAGGGAACTGGGGGACGACCTCTCTCTGTCTCTGCCTTTCAAATAAGATGAAAATGTTTTCTGTTTAAATAACTGGCCTGGGACCAGTGCTGTGGTGCCGGCATCCCATTTGAGCGCCAGTTGGAGTCCCGGCTGCTCCACTTCTGATCCAGCTCCCTGCTGTGGCCTGGGAAAGCAGTGGAGGATGGCCCGAGTGCTTGGGCCCCTGCACCCACGTGGGAGACCCTGATGGAGCTCCTGGCTTCAGCCTGGCCCCGCCCTGGCCGCTGTGGCCCCTGGGGGAGTGAACCACTGCATGGAAGATCTCTCTTTCTCTGCCTTTCAAATAAGTAAATCTTTAAATCAATACCACGATAAGAAGCAAAGAAGCCAAGCCACGGGCAAGAGAAAGGCCCGCAGGTGACAGATCTGAGGCTGCCCTGGGCCTGCCCCCCCCCCCCCCCCCCCCCCCCCCCGCCACCCTACAGCCAAGGGGGCTGCAGAGCTGTAATGGCAGCAGACGAACACAGGAGGGGGCTGCTGAGCCAGGCACACGCCTGGCCCGGGACACTGACTCCCTGCCGGCCCCCCCCCCCCCGTGTGGCCCCCGCTCTGGGAAGGCTGGGGCAGCAGCCGTGGTTCTGTGTGGCCCTGCGTCACTCCTGGGCACTTACCCCAGGAAGATGAAGCCATGTGCACAAGACGTGTGGCAGGCGTCCACAGCAGCTCGCCTGGGCGCAGCCTGGCGCCTTCCCCGGGGGCCGGCTCAGCGGCAGAGCCGATCAGACCCGAAACGTGTCAGGCTGACCACGGAGCAGCAGGAGCTCTCCAGAAACACGGAGGGAAGATGTCGGGAACCCTCCTGAGATGGAAACACAGGGCCCAGGCAGAACCAGGCGCAGCGGCGACGTGGGACCTGCGTCTGGGCACGGGGGCTGGGCCACCTGCCACGCTGGAGTCCTGAGAGCTGCTGGCCTGTGCTTGGGCCCCTGTGCCTACATGGGAGACCAGATGGAGCTCCAGGCTCGGCCCGGCCCAGGCCCAGCCACGGCAGCCGTTTGGAGAGTGAGCACTGGATGAAGACTGACCCATCTCCAACCCTGCCTTTCAGATAAATAAAATCAATCTTAAAGAGGATACAGACATCAGGCAAAAAAATCACAAATGACCCCAAGAAGCCGGATGTGAACGGAGAGGCCGTGACTCCCAGCTCCGCAGGCTGAGCGCTGGGCTGGGCTCCGTGCCGGGGCCCCGGGCAGAGCTGGGCAGTGCCCGGAGGCCAGGGACACTCCAGAGCCACGCAGATGGGGGAGGGTGCTGGGCGGAGCCCCGGCAGCTCCCACGCGGGGACCCGGCCACCCAGGGGCCTCCGTCTGCTCCGGCCCGGCCTAACCTCAAAACCCAAGGGCTAAAGCCTTCCCAGGCACGTAACCCGGAACAAATGCAGGGGCATCCATGTCCAGCAAGGCGGAAGGCACGTGTGCAGGCTGCAAGGTGCAGGAGTGACCCAACGCCGCACAGCCAGAGAGGCCCAGAGACACATCTCCACGCACTGGCTCCTGCTCCCATGGCCGAAACTGCTGGGCTGGGCCCGAGCTCCGTCCGGGCCCCCCACGTGGGTGCAGGGCCATCACTGGCCTCCCAGGTGCGCCGTGGGGAGCCCGGGCGCCTGCCCCTGGGTTGGCTGCCTGGCTTGCGCCTCGCTCGCGCACATCTTTGTTTTCTTTGGTAGAATGGAACTCCCAGCACAGGCGACGTCTGGCTGGGTGGTCTGGCAGAGCTGGGGCCCAGGCAGGCGTCCACCCTGCCTTGGAGGGGGCCTTTGAGACCCTCCGCTCCCCTCCCCCCTCCGGCACCAGGCCGGGGCGGGCTTTGGTGTCCTGTGTCTGGGCCTGGTGTGGGCGACTTCGTGAGGTCCAGCCTCTGCTGCCTGCTGGCCCTGCTGGCTGCCACTGCTTCGGGGGGCGGGGTGGGGGCAGCTCTGGATTCCGGCCATGGGCAGGAGCCTGGGGGAGGTGGACCCCTGGAGGCCCTGCCACGGGAGCTGGTGGCTGCATGGACTGTCGAGGGCTCAGCTTTGGGGCCGCTGCGTGGGGTCCCTGCGGCAGCGTGCGCGCCCCCGAGGCGGGTGAGGCACGGGACCAAGCACCCCGGCGACACGCACGCGCTGTCCGCAGGTGACCTCTCTGGAGCCCGTGGCCGGCGTGCTGCGCTCCTGGGATCTGAGCCTCACGGAAGCCATGCTGCAGAACATGGACGCCGAACACCAGCGCCGGGCGCGCGAGACCCAGACGCAGCAGCAGGCGGAGGCCACGCGGTGCGGGGACGCTCGGGCGGGGGCGCGGTGCCGACGGGGAGCCCTCTGACCCTGCCCGTCCCGCCCCCCAGCATGGCCCTCCAGGTGCAGCGGCTGGCCCAGGAGCAGCAGCGCTGTCACAAGGAGGTGAGCGGGCCGCGTGCCCCGGGGAGGGGCGCGGCGGGGGAGGGGCGGCGGGGCTCACGGGGGCGCCCCCAGCTGCAGCAGGCCTACTGCGAACTCAGCCGGAGGATCGCCGAGCTCGACGCGTGCGAACGCCGGCGCGCGGTCAGCACGGAGCCCTCGGCACAGGTGCGCCCCTACGCCCCACCCCCCGCGCCCCCGGGGGACCGGTCCCTCCCGCAGCTGGCGGGGGTGGGGCGCGGCTTTGGGCCTGGCTGCTCCGAGCCGAGCCGGCCGTGGCGCCCCCTCCAGGCCGTCAAGGACGCCGAGGCGCGCGTGGACAGGCTGCGGCAGCAGGCTCAGACGGCCGAGGAGACGCTGGCGCTGGCCAGGCTGGAGCTTCGGGAGCAGGCCCAGGAGGGTGGGCGGGGTCAGCCCTGGCCGCGGGGAGGCGAGGCCCGGGGCGGGCTTGGCGCGGGGGCCGCTAGCTGTCCCCGACCCCCTAGACGAGGCGATGGCGCCCGGGCTGCGGTGCCAGATCACCGAGCTGCACGACGTGCTGCTGAAAGACGTGGGCGACCGCATCAGCGCCGACGGCCGGTCAGTGCTGCGGGGCGTGGGGGGCTGATGAGCCCGCGAGGACGGCCGGCGCCGAGCCGCTCGTCGCCCCCAGGTGGCCTCTCGTCATCGACCCCTCGGGCCAGGCGGCCACCTTCCTGCGCTACCAGGACACCAACTACCTGGACACGGTGAACCCCGAGCACCTGCGCCCGGAGAGGATCCGCCTGGCGCTGCTGGGGGCGCTCAGGTGAGGCGCGGGGCCGGCGGGCGTGGCGCCCAGGGGAGGCGGGGCGGCCCTGCCCACGCCCCGCCCCGCCCCGCCCGGCCCCGCAGGTACGGGAAGCCGCTGGTCTTCGACCTGCGCGAGCTGGACCTGTTTGCGGCCGTGCTGCGGCAGCTGGACGCGGTGCAGCCGGGCCTGGCGCAAGCGCTGCTGAGCCGCGGGCTGCTGGAGCAGGAGCGCTACCTGTCGCTGCGGCGCCCCGCCGACGGCCCCGAGTACAGCCCCGCGCGGTTCCAGGAGGCGCGCCTGCACCGCTTCCGCCTCCTCTTCGTCACGCGCGCCCGCTGGCCGCCGGCCGAGCAGCTGCAGGCGCTGCTCCCGGTGCGAGTGCAGCCGCCCCGGGGCCTCGAACAAGCCCCAGCCCCGCCAGCCCCACCCTGCAGAGCGGCGGACGGAGGCGCGGGGGCTAAAACGTAGTCAACTTTATTCTCCTTAAACCACAAAATAGAGTCTTTGGTTGTACAAACGTCACTAGTTACAGTGTGGCCGGGCGCGCGCGCCCCTACGAAGGCACGGGGCCTAGGCCCCGGCGTCCCGGCCGCAGCGGGCGGCGGCCACTGCACGGCGTCGTGTCCTCGGCGCCGGCCGGGGCCCTGCCCAGCAGCACCAGGGCCACCTCTCCGTCCTCCTCCTGCGGGCTGGGGCTGGGGGACGGCTCCAGGCAGCTCAGCTCCTCCAGGCCGGGCGACTGCGGCGGGGAGAGGGCGGTCAGGGCGGCGAGGGACCTGCGGGGAGCCACTGGCGCGCGCGGGGCCAGAGTGCAGGGACGGTGCGCAAGGGGGCAAGCAGGGCGAGCGCGCGCAGGGCTGCGGGGCGGGGCGCGCCGCGCGGCCGCGGTACCTGGAGCGCATAGACAGGTCTGGAAGAAGGCAGGGCTGCGAACGCCCTGTAGTCAAACTTCTTTCCAGACAGGGGCTGGAGAGGACAGCGCGAGGGGGGAGAGGCAGAGAGAGTACGCGCAGGAGGCGAGGGCCGCGGGGCGGGGTCCGCACCCCCACCCCCAGGCCGGAGCGGCGCGGGCGAGGGTGGCGGCTGCGGGCTCCTCACCAGGCGTCCAGGGGCCGGGCTGCGCTGGGGGCCGAGGTCTGCGGGGCGAGAAGCGAGAAGCGGGCGTTGGGAGCCGTCCCTGCGGCGGACCGGGTCCCCGGCTCCCCCACCCCCGGGCACACGGACCTTCCGGTGGGGTGGGAGACGGTGTGGGCGCGGGGGACGGGGCCTCGGCCAGGCGCTCCAGGGGCCCCCGCTTGCCGCGGCCGTCCTGGGACCGGCTGAGGACCATCTGCGCGCGCAGGGCGTCCTGCTCCAGCGACTTCATCCTGGCCGCCCGCCACAGCGCCCGCTTCTCCGCCTCCAGGGCGCGACGCTCGGCCGGGGACAAGGCGCGCTCGGGCGCCGGCGGCTCCCCCAGCTCCGGGCTCTGCATGCGCAGCCGCTCCTGCTGGCGCCGCTCGGCTTTGGCTGTGCGCACCGGGGCGCCGCCGCCTCCCAGGGCAGCGGGGCCAGTCGGGCTGGGCCTGGGAGAGGGGCAGGGTGCGGTGAGGGCGCAGGGCGCGTGCGCGCCTCGAGCCCTCCGGCCGGGGACAGACGGGAGGTCCTCACCCTCCAGTGGGGCCCGGGCCGGCCCAGGGCGGTTCGTCTTCCGGCTCCGGCTCCTCCTCCGGGGCCTCGGCGTCCAGGGCGAGCCCCGCAGCGGCCTCCTCGCGCAGCATCTGAGCTCTCTTCCGCTGCAGCTTGCGGGCTGGCGGGGGCGGGGCAGTCAGACCGGGCGGGGCCAGCCCAGACCCAGGCCGCGCCCGCCCCGCCCCCGCCTCACCTTCCTCCTCCTGCATCTTCCGCAGGTCGTCGGCACCCACCAGGGACACGCGCTTGGGGGGGCCTTCAGCCTGGGGCATGCGCAGCTCCAGCTCGAAGTATTTCTGCCGCTCGCGGAAAGACAGCTGCTCGGGCGAGGCCAAGGTCCCGGGCGCGGGGGGCTGCGGGAGCCAGAGCAGGGCCTTGGACCCGGCACGCCCCCACCCCCACCCCGGGCCGTGCAGGGGAAGGGCTCCCCGCATACCTGGGCGGGGCCGTCCTCGGGCGGGTGCGGGCTGGGCACCGCGGCGAAGGCCCTGTACGCCTGCTTCACGTTGGCAGGCAGCTCGTCGGGGGAGGGGGGCTGCGGGGGGTCGGTTTTAACTGCTGGGGGGGCAGCTGTCCCAGCTGCAGGCACCTCCCGGCCGCCAGCTGTCCCTGCCAACTGCCTCTGACCCCACCGCCACCCTGCCACCCCCACGCCGAGTGGGACGGGGCACTCACAGAGCTGGGACTGCTGCCCCTCTGGGTTGGGGAGCCCCTGGGCCAGGCCCGAGCCAACGGCTGGATGACCCCTGGCTCAGTCTGCAGAGGGCAGTGCGGAGGAGACAGGGAGAAAGGCGGGAGCCGGCTGGGGGCAGTGTTGAGCCAGCAGAGGGGAGGGCGTGGGCAGCCAGGGCCACCCCTGCCCCCAGCTCTGGCCGGGAAGGTATCCACCGGCCTTGTCCTCAGCCGGATGACGGTGGCAGCGGGGAGCAGGGCCCAGTCTCCCCACGCCACCTCCCCAGGGGCTGCACCCAGTGAGCACCGGGACTGGGGACACTCACCTGCTGGCTGCCGGGAGAGCAGGCGGCCTCGGCCATCTTCCCTCCCGTCGTGCTGGACGGTACCTGCAGGGGCTGGGGGCAGTGTGCGGTGAGGGCTGGGTGGCACCGAAGCCACTCCTCAGGCGCCAGCTGACCACCCCCAAACGGGACTAGTGACCAGAAAGGGCTCAGGCCAAAGGTGGGGTCTGGGGTCCTGCCTCGGCTCAGGAGGTTGGAGGCCCAGGCAGAGAGAGCCAGGACGAGACATGCGTGTCGGGGGACAGCTGCTGCCCCGCGCCTATGCCAGCTGCCTAGGAGGGGGCTGGCTGCAGGGCCTCCCGGCTCAGCCACCTCCACCCATGCACTGAGGTGACCCACACCGGTCACCCAAGCTTTGCCTGTCCTGGCCAGAGACGCCAGCCACCCCCCCACAGCCCCAGGGCACTCACACTCCTGCTGGGTCTCCCGGTGGCGGCCAGCTGGGCGAGCCTCGGGGAAGGCTATTTATGCCTCTTGGGGGAGAATAAGAGCCCCCACACCCAGCCCAGCTGCCCGAGCCAGCCCCGCCCCTGCCTCCCCCCCCCCCCCCCGCAGCTGCTCCTCTGCCTGCAGAGGCTGGGCCTGGGCCCCACGTCCACGGCTGCTAGGTGAGGACGCGGGCAGGGGCCCTGTCCAGGCACTGGTCCTGGCGGCGGGGGCCTGGGGCCCGGCAGACCACTGCCCCATGGGCCGTGTGGGGCAGGAGGGATGGGACACTCACGGTGGCCTGCAAGGCCTCGGGCCCCCACGGCGGGCTGGGTGCGGGCAGCTCCTTCTCCTGCACAGAACACGCAGGGCTGGCAGCGGCCGCAGCAGGCGTCCTGACCTTGCCCTCAGGGCTCAGCTCCCGGTCGATGGACGAGATGCTCTCCAGGCTGTTCCGGTGGCCCATGCCGGCCGCAAAGGGGTTGGCAATGACCCCCGGGGACACCTGAGGACGGAGGGCCGAGGTGGGCATGGCGGCCGCCGGGTCCCACCCCCAGGGCAGACTCGGGACTGGGCCTTCAGCCGGAAGTTCACTGCACCGTGGTCCCCCACCGTGCAGGCTGGACCACGTCTGCGGCGTGAGCCCCAAGGAAAGGCCTGCCCGGCTGCCCACTGCCCACTGCCCGGCGACAGGCAGGACGGCGGCTGGGAGGACCTGGGAACACGCCCACCCCACAGGGCAGGCTCAGCGCCTGTCCTCACCACGCATGCGCACTGGTGTTGTCTTTTTCAAAGACGTGTTTGTGTATCTGAAAGGCAGAGACGGGGAGAGATCTCTCCCATCGGCTGGTCCACTCAGGTTAAAGCCAGGAGCCACACAGCCCACCCGGTGAGAGACAGAGAGAAAGGTCTTCCTTCCACTGCTTAACCCCCCAAATGACCGCTAGTCGGCGCTGTGCCAATCCGAAGCCAGGAGCTTCCTCCTGGTCTCCCATGGGGTGCAGGGCCCAAGCACCTGGGCCATCCTCCACTGCACTCCCTGGCCACAGCAGAGAGCTGGCCTGGAAGAGGGGCAACCGGGACAGAATCCGGCGCCCCGACCGGGACTAGAACCCGGGGTGCCGGCGCCGCCGGCAAGATCCACTTCTGATTCCAGCTTCCTGCTGGCGTGCACCCGGGGAGGCAGCAGGCCGTGGCTGGTTCTGACCCGGTTCTGACCCGGCCGCTGTGGGCACCTGAGGGACTGACCCTGCGGATGGACGACCCCTGCCTCTCACAAGTGAAAATACTGACAGGATCGAGATGAGGGGTAAGGGCACGGCCAAGTGACTGCAGGAGCACACACTGAAGGTGGGGAGTCCTGCGGAGCAGACGAGGCGGGGCTGAAGGTCTAGGGCATCGGCAGGTGCCACAGCCGAGGCGGCACGTCACGCCGTAGGTACGAACGAGCGGCAGCCAAGCAGAGAGCAGAGCACCAGGAGCGCGAGCCGACAGCTCGAACCCCAGCACGGCAGGGCAGCGGCGGGAAGCATACTGTGCCGGCTCCCCTGCAGCTCTGGCCACCACGAGGCCCTGAGGCCCCGCCCCGGCCAGCAGCAGGGCACACACCCAGGCTGGACCTCCGGACACCTAGCAGCGCCCGTGCTCCCGGAAGCGGGCGCTTCCACGACCAGGTCAGGGTGCTCAGCAAAGCCGGGTCCCGGCCCAGCCCCTTCCGGGGGCCAGGATGAGGCAGAACGCGGCACGCCTGGTGACGAGGACCAGCCGTCACGGAACCGGAACCGGGCGGCAGGGCCGTCACAGGGGCACTGTGGGCTAAGCCTCTGCCTGTGGCCCCAGCATCCCACGTGGGCGCCGGTCCGAGTCCTGGCTGCTCCTCTTTCAATCCAGCTCTCTAATGGCTGGGAAGGCAGAAGATGCCCACGGGCTTGGGCCCCTGCACCCACGTGGAGGACCTGGAGGAGGCTCCTGGCTGCTGGCTTTGGCCTGGCCCAGCCCTGGTCATTTTGGCCATTTGGGGAGTGAGCCAGCGGAGAGAAGATCGTCTCTCCTCTCTCTCCCCCTCCGCCCCTTCTGTAACTGTCTTTTTTTTTTTTTTTTTTTTTTGACAGGCAGAGTAGACAGTGAGAGAGAGAGAGAGAGAGAGAAAGGTCTTCCTTTGCCGTTGGTTCACCCTCCAATGGCCGCCGCTGCCGGCGCGCTGCGCACTGATCCGATGGCAGGAGCCAGGAGCCAGGTGCTTTTCCTGGTCTCCCATGGGGTGCAGGGCCCAAGCACTTGGGCCATCCTCCACTGCACTCCCTGGCCACAGCAGAGAGCTGGCCTGGAAGGGGGGCAACCGGGACAGAATCCGGCACCCCGACCAGGACTAGAACCCTGTGTGCCGGCGCCGCAGGCGGAGGATTAGCCTAGTGAGCCGCGGCGCCGGCCTGTAACTGCCTTTCAAATACATACATCTTTTAAAGTCTATTTTAGTATCTGCTCGTATTTATCCAAAGGGGAGGCAGAGCGAGGCAGGTTCCTCGTGGGCAGCGCTGTCGTGCTGACCCCGGGAGTGCGTGACGGTCCCTAACAGCTGTGCGTGGGACCCACACTGTCCCTCCGTGCTCGGTGCCGGTGCCGGTGCCAGGGACGGGCCAGCGCCGCCCCTTGCGGTCGTTAAGGAACCAGAGAGGAAGGCTGAGTGGACGCGAGGACACGGCATGGAATCCAGAAGGCTGAAACCATCATGGGGAGCCACTCGGAGAAGCCCGAGAGACAGCCGGGGCAGCCAAGGCAACACCGGCCCGGGCCTGCGTGCCCTGCCTCTGTGGGGGCCAGGCGGGGCAGGGACGCCCATGGCACGCGGTGGCCGGGTAAACACTTGTCAGGATAGAGAAGACCCCCGTCTCAGGCTGGGCGTGTGGCACAGCCGGCATGGGGGATGCCGGCACCCGTTTCAGAACACCTGGTTCAACTCCCAGCTGCTCCGCTTCTGATCTGGCTCCGACCCTGCACCCACGTGGGAGACCCAGAGGAAGCTCCTGGCTCTGGCCCGGCCCAGCCCCGGCTGTTGCGGCCATTTGGGGAGTGAACCAGCGGACGGAGCCCCCTCGCTTGGAGTAAATAAGCAAACCTGGTGGAGCTGGCCCCTTCCGCAGGAGACGCCGCAGAGCGGAACAAGCCCTGCGGGAGGAAAGCCGCCCTTCTCGTCCCGGCAAAGCCACCGAGGCCGAGGACACCACACACCGAGAGGGCGCTGTCGCCCGGCCCGGGGCCCGCGGCGCCCAGTCAGCCCGGTCCAGAAACAAAGCCTGGACCC